GTGGTTTCCTCCTCCAGTACGTCTTCCATCCCTGCCTACCAAATTCCTACCCCTTCCCCAAGAGCATCTAGAACTGGTTCTCCTTGCAGCTGGTCCAGATTTCGAGCCTTCCTGGGCAAACTCTTCCTGGATGCTGGGCCCTCCGAAGAACTTCCAGGCAGTCCTCGGACACGTGCCCTTCTCAGCCTTAGATTAACACTCCAGACTCCCCTGAGGGCCGGTCTACGTTTCTCCGGACCCGGGCGCTCCTCTCATTACCAGCCCCACACTCGCTGAGGTGTCTGCCCGGGCTCACCTATGCCAGAAGGTCGCAGCTAACTACAACTGAGTCAATCAAAGCCCGCGGTGGAGACGCAGGGCGGAAACGCCAGCGCCTGGTCACCGCCCGTAGCGTTTTCGGAGAGCGCCCCGCCACGTAGGGGCGGAGCCACGCGCCTACAAAGGGCGTGGCCTCCACCCTGCGCGGGAAAGGGGCCTGCGCCGGCTGCGCGCGCACAGTCGGCGGCCGCGCGCAGTACGCTGAGGGCTGGGATGGCGGCGGCGGCGACAGCTGGGAGCGGGACTCCCCAGGAAGAGGAGGGACCTGGTGGGGAGGCCCCGGCCTCGCAGGCCCAAGCCCCAACAAGTGCAACCGGGGCTCGTCTTTCGAGGCTCCCACTAGCACGAGTAAAGGCCTTGGTGAAGGCGGACCCAGATGTGACGCTAGCTGGACAGGAAGCCATCTTCATTCTGGCGCGAGCCGCGGTGCGACCGGAGCGCTGAGGGCGCGGGGGCGGGGTCTCCAGGGGGGCGTGGATCGGAGGCGGGATTCTGAGAAACGAGGGTAGACCCGGCTAGCTGTGGGAGGGGGTTGTGTCCTGCCACAGGACGGGAGTTGTATTGGTTTGTTAACACATCTGCTTCTTAGTGAGGGCCCGGACGACCTTCATTAGCATTTCCAGTGTCTAACGCAGAACCTGTAGAAGGCTAGTGAGTAGGGTTGATATACAAGTAAGGAAAAGGGACGTGTCATTCGGGTTTACTGGGAAAAAGGGTAGCAGAATTGACCTTCTTAAAGTCTGGGACAGCCTTAGCTTCCAGAACATGCCTATGCTCCTGAGCCTGCCTTCTCCCTGCCTGTCCCCACTCACAAACAAGAATGTTCGCGTCTTCAGTGTGATAGAACCTATTGTTAGAACTCTGCTTGTTTGCTTCACAGGAGCTGTTTGTGGAGACTATTGCAAAAGATGCCTACTGCTGTGCTCAACAAGGAAAGAGGAAAACCCTCCAGAGGAGAGATTTGGGTAGAGATTTGTAGCGTCTGGGGGCTGCCGTGGGAGGGCTCGGCTAGGCTTCCTCTTTACCTCTGGCTCAGAGATGCTACAGGGGCTCTCCCTATTATTTTTTCTGTTCACCTGCCACAATGCCAGAAGGCCCTACCTTTGGAGTCTCTATGCTTTGGATAGCTGGAGGCATGGTGAGGCAGAATCTGAAAGGTACCTGGGGGTTGCTAAAGCTGCCTAGACAGACCCCTTAATGCCTTCTGGCATGTTGTACCAGAGAACGACGTTTTCTTTTTTACCTAGCAAATGGTTTTTTTTTTTTTTGGAGACAGTCTCATTCAGTTGCTCTTAGTAGAGTGTGGTGGCATCATAGCTTACAGCAACCTCATACACCTTGGGCTCCACCTCTTGCCTCAGCCTCCCTGGTAGCTGGGACTACAGGTGCCCATCACAAAACCTAGCTACTTTTTTTTCTTTTCTTTCAGTTTTTGGCCGGGGCTGGCTTGAACCTGCCACCTCAGGCATATGGCGCCGGTGCCCTACTCCTCTGAGCCACAGGTGCCACCCCCCAGCTACTTTTTTTAGAGATTGAGTCTCACTTTTGCTCAGGCTAGTCTTGAACTCCTGAGCTCAGGCAGTCCACCCACCTCAGCCTCCCAGAGTTCTGGGATTCCAGGTGTGAGCGCTGCACCCTGCTGGGGGTTTGATTTTTTACTCTTGTCTGGCTGGTAACCCTGGCAAGCTTTCATACACTGTATTTTTACACAACTTCCTGTATTACTAAACTCTTCTCTGATGACTTTCAGAGCAAAGAGAATAAATAAATTCTGGTGAAAGCCTGGGTTGTGAGAAGGTTCCACCTCCCATCCCCTACATTGAATAGTCTTTGCTTAGGCTTTTCTTACTCTTGAAGAGAGACCAGTAAGAGTTGGTGGTGGAGTAGAAATGGATCTCAAGACAGTAAGGGACATTTTATAAATTCCCTCATTTGTGAAAAGCCTCGTATCCTTCACTGTGTGGATTGTATTGTTTGGGGACCAATGTCCATATGACTGGAGTTAGTGATGTGTTCCTTTACCTTGTGTTTCAGATAATGCAATAGAAGCTGTGGATGAATTTGCTTTTCTGGAAGGTGAGTTCTGTTAATGGTGGGCAATCATTTCCACCAGTCTTTTCCATGCCAATGATGTGAGTTCAAACTTTATAAAATGGGCTGATTCTTTATGTGGAGGGATAATTCTTTCTCCCTAGTTATTGTTATTTGGATAGGAAAAACTAATTTGCCAAACCTAGTGAGGGTCAGTTTCTTCCTTTGGGGAATTAGAATTTCTACTTGAAAATGGCTAACCATAAAGAAATGGGAGGGAATGTAAAGACTCTAGAGGAATTATTAATAGATAGATTCAAAAGTTTCATGTTTACTTTGGTTTCTATCCTTGAATAAAAACTCTACATCATTACAATAATGTTAGAGGTTGAGAAAAATTGTCATTATGTTCTTTTTTCTTCAGCAATCTGTTAAGTGATTATTTTGTTGCTGTGAGATTCTGTACTTGCCTGTATTCATTTGTTCTTAGGAGTTATGGATTAACTTGTATACTGACTAAATTTTGTCATTGAAATAATTGAAGTACGTCTCTCAGAGGTATTTATTAGCTACTTTCTCTCAGAGCTATTTCTGCTATTTAATTTCTAAATCTGATCAGCTTACTCTTCACATACAGTCACATGCTACGGGAATGACTTTTTGGTTAACTACTGACCCAATAGATCAGTGTTTCTCAGCTTTTCTAATGCCTCCTAATGCTGCGACCCTTTAATACAGTTCCTCATGTTGTGGTGACCTGCAAGCATAAAATTATTTTTCTTGCTACTTTATAACTGTAATTTATCTACTGTTATGAATTGTAATGTAACTCTCTGATATGCAGAATGTATTTTCATTGTTACAAAGGGGTCGTGACCCACAGGTTGAGAACCGCTGCAATAGATGGTGGTGGTCCCATTAAGATTATGATAGAGCTGAAAAATTCCTATTGCCCACTAGTGAAGCCATCTTAACATCCTAATGAATCATATTGCCTTTCCTGTGTTCTATGCTTAGATACATAGACCTTTTTTTCTTTCTTTTTTTTTTTTTGAGGCAGATTCTCACTCAGTCTCCCTGGCTAGAGGTGCTATGGCATTACAGCTCACAGCAAGCTCAAACTCTTGGACTCAGCAATTTTCCTGCCTCAGCCTTCTGAGTAGCTGGAACTACAGGTGCCCACTACAATGTGTGGCTAATTTTTCTATTTTTTGAAGAGACAGGGTCTTGTTTTTGCTCGTGCTGGTCTCGAACTCCTAAGCTCAAGGGATCCTCCTGCTTCAGCTTCCCAGAGTACTAGGATTACAGGCATGAGTTACATGCCTGACCTTTTTTTTTTTTTTTTAATCATGGGGATTCATTGAGGGTCTAAGAAATGACTTTTTTTTCTTTTTAATTTTTAAAATTGTAGAGGCTGAGTCTGGCTATGTTGCCCAAGCTGGTCTTGAACTCTTCTGGCCTCAAGTAATCTTCCTACTTCATTGATTGAAAAAACTTTTTTTAAAGTATACTGTGTATTCTGTTTAGCTTTAAGAGTTGATCTCAGAAGTAACTTGCCATTATCAAAAGCAGACACTAATTTTTTTTTGATTAGAGGTGTTTTGCTTTTATGGCTTTATTTTGTTTTTCTTATGTGTTTTTTTTTTTTTCTCTCTGAATTATCTATGCTTTTTTTTCCCCAATGAATTTTGACTTCTGCTTTCACTGTGTAAACTTGCATTAAAATACCTGGTGTTTTTCATTCTTTTAATAACAAAAGACTAAAGTGGCTGGTTAGAAGTTGTGTGTGTGTGTATGATGTATGTATGGGGTTGGGAGGGGGGGGTTGTTGCCTGGCAGTTTTACTTTATGGTGAATAAAGGTGGGACCAGATGTTATACTGGGGAGGCCCCCAGGGCCAGAATGCACACAGCTTTACTTTGAGGAGCTGGCATTTCCAGAAGCTGTTTTACTTCTCTTCAAATAGTCCACTTGGTTCTTTACAAGAAGGCCCTGTGAATTGTTTTACAAGTTAGGTTTAAATGACTGCTTGCTGGTAGTGTTGCTTATAGGGAAGATTGTGGGGAGATACGGGCATCTGTTTCTCGTACAGACCCGTGGGTCATTATCCCATTTTTTGTCTTGAGTCTCTTTTTGTCTTCCTTTTTTTTTTTTTTTTTTTTGCATTTTTTGGGTGGGGCTGGGCTTGAACCCACCACCTCCAGTATATGGGGTTGGCACCCTACTCCTTGAGCCACAGGCACGGCCCACTTTCTGTCATTCTTGTTGACTGAGTCTGGAGCCTCCCTATGGTTCTTCTTGACATGTAGACGCCCCTCCTCTGCTGAAGCTTCCTCTGTTCATTCTAGGTTCATTTTCCCTCTGCTCTATAAACATGCTTCGGTCAGATTTCTCTTGCTCAGTTTTTTGCTGAAATCCCTTGACTTCTGGTGGGCCCCTATTCTTTGTTACAGATTTATAAACTTTTTATACCTTTTTTCCTTTTGAATGGAATCTTGGGCAGGGGGCCATATTAACGTGTGGGCTCAGATCTGGAAATGGAACTTTCTGTAAAGACTATATGCTCTTTGCCTAGAGAACTTATTTAATCACTCAGCCTTCCCTTATGTTGTCTTCACAAATGCTCATTAACAACAACTTTTTGGCTCAGGACCTATACTCAGTGGTTAGGGTCCTGGCCACATACATCGGGGCTGGCGGATTTGAGCCTGGCCTGGGTCTCCTAAACAACAGTGACAACTACAGCAAAAAAAAAATAGTGGGGTGTTGTGGCAGGCACCTGTAGTCCCAGCTACTTGGGAGGCTGAGGTGAGAGAATCGCTTAACTGCCAAGATTTTAAGGTTGCTGCAAGATGTGATGCCATGGCACTCTATTGAGGTCAACATAGTGAATCTTTGTCTCAAAAAAACAAAAACAAAAAGCAAAAATCTTCTTAGCCCTTCTTCCACCTCTAATGCTAACTCTCTAAACCAGTATATTTAATTCTTTTTTTTTTTTTGAGACAGTCTCACTGTGTTACCCTCAATAGAGTACTGTGGCTTCATAGCTCACAGCAACTTCGAACTCTAGGGCTTAAGTGATTCTCTTGCAGCATTTTCCCAAGTAGCTGGGACTACAGGTGCTGGCATAATGCCCGCCTTTTTTTTGTTGTTGTTGCAGTTGTCATTGTTCTTCAGCCGGCCTGGGCCGGGTTCAAACCTGCCAGACTAGGTGTATGTGGCCAGTGCCATAACCACTATGCTACAGGTGCCAAGCCCAGTATGTTTAATTCTTAATTGCTCACCCCTGTAGGGTAGATTTTTCCCCAGGAATATTTTGGTAGATGTTTCTGGAAATTAGTATTTTGGTCTTACAGAACTGCTGCTAATATTAAAGCCCCTCCTGCTTTCAGTAATCTGGGTCTTGAGACACCTTGCTTTACTTATTGCTCTTTGTATGTTTAGGTACTTTGGATTGATTGCTGAGCTGGGCAGTTTTGTGAGCCGTCGTCTGCATCTTTCAGCTCGTCCCTCTCCACAGGCCTCAGCTTTGAAGAACAGAGTTTTTGCACTTATATACACTCTTCCTGTTCTCCCCTCACCTATGCCGAAATAAGCAGAGATCTCATCTGTTAGCTTTTCTCTACAAGGTCTTCCACTACTTGTGACTGTCTTCCATGTCAGCCCTGGATGCAGCAGCTGCTGGTTGGAGCAGAGATGAAGAAAGTGTTCTGTATAAGTGGCTTACTGAATAAGGAGGATCAGAATAAAGGTCTTTGGTCCACTTCAGTCTAGTGTGTTTTATAGTCTCACCTTTGTTCTTGCTCCTGTGACTACAGAGCCTGCCCAGGCCCAGCCATAGACATTCCTGGTTTTCTCTGTCAGGCACTCTAAACCATAATTCTTTCATTAATTTTGTTCATTTTTCCAGAATATAGTATTAGAATTTACAGAATGCCACTTTCCCCAAGAATTAAAATAAATAACGGTCCTATAACGAAAACTAGTTGGATTTTTTAAACAGTTTTATTTATTGAGACATTCACATACCATACAGTTGAACAATTTAAAGTGTACAATATATAGTCACAGATACATTCACAGATAATGTGCAACTCTACCACAGTCAATTTTAGAATATTTTTATATGAATGAAATCTTTAAAAAAATTTTTTATACTTCTAAAGATTTTTTTTTTAATTGTTGGGGATTCATTGAGGGTACAAGAAAGTAGGTTACACTGATTGGATTTGTTAGGTAAAGTCCCTCTTAGAATTATGTTTTGCCCCTCCCCAAAAGTTGTGTCACACACCAAGACCCCACCCCCTCTCTCCTTTCCCACACCCCTCCCTCCTTTCTCTGCTCTCCCCTTCACAACCTCTACCATGTCATTAATTGTCATTAATTGTATTCATCAAAATTGAGTACATAGGATTCATGCTTTTCCATTCTTGTGATGCTTTACTAAGAATAATGTGTTCCACTTCTATCTAGGTTAATACAAAGGCTGTGAAGTCTCCATTTTTTTTAATGGCTGAATAATATTGCATGGTATACATATACCACAGCTTGTTAATCCATTCCTGGGTTGGTGGGCATTTATGCTGTGTCCACATTTTGACAATTGTAAATTGAGCTGAAATAAACAGTCTAGTGCAAGTGTCCCTATGATAAAAGGGTTTTTTCCCTTCTGGGTAGATGCTCCGTAATGGGATTCCAGGATCAAATGGGAGGTCTAGCTTGAGTTCTTTGAGGGTTCTCCATACTTCCTTCCAAGAAGGTTGTATTAGTTTGCAGTCCCACCAGCAGAGTAAAAGTGTTCCCTTCTCTCCACATCCTTGCCAGCATCTGCAGTTTGGAGATTTTGTGATGTGGGCCATTCTCACTGGGGTTAGATAATATCTCAGGGTGGTTTTGATTTGCATTTCTCTAATAATTAGGGATGATGAGCATTTTTTCATGTTTGTTAGCAATTTGTCTTCTTTAGAGACGGTTTTATTCATGTCTCTTGCCCACTGATACATGGGATTGTTGGCTTTTTTCATGTGGATTAATTTGAGTTATCTATAGATCGTAGTTATCAAGCTTTTGTCCAATTCAAAATATGCAAATATCCTTTCCCATTGTGTAGGTTGTGTATTTGCTTTGGTTGTTGTCTCATTAGCTGTACAGAAGTTATCAGTTTAATTAAGTCCCATTTGTTTATTTTTGTTGTAATTGCCATGGCAGTCTTCTTCATGAAGTCTTTTCCCTAGGCCGATATCTCCCAGTGTTTTTCCTATGCTTTCTTTGAGAATTTTTATTGTTTCGTGCCTTAAATTTAAGTCCTTTATCCATCTTGAATCAATTTTTCTGAGTGGAGAAAGATGTGGGTCCAGTTTCAATCTTTTACATATGGATTTCCAGTTCCCCCAGCACCATTTATTGAATAGGGAGTCTTTCCCCCAAGGTATGTTCTTGTTTGGTTTATTGGAGATTAGGTGGTTATAAGATGTTAGTTTCATTTCCTGATTTTCTAGTCAATTCCAAATGTCTATGTTTCTATTTTTGTGCCCGTACCATGCTGTCTTGTAGTACAGCCTAAAGTCTGGTATGCTGATGCCCCTGGCTTTGTTTTTATTACTAAGAACTGCCTTAGCTATACGGGTTTTCTTTTGGCTCCATACAAAACAAAGAATCATTTTTTTCCTAGTCTTGAAAGTACAATGTTGGTGTTTCAATAGGGATGGCGTTGAATTGATAGATTGCTCTGGAAAGTGTAGACATTTTTAACAATGTAGATTCTTCCCAGCCATGAGCATGGTATGTTCTTCCATTTGTTAAAGTCCTCTGCTATTTCCTTTCTTAGGGTTTCATAATTTTCTTTATAGAGGTTCTTCACCTCTTTTGTTAGGTATATTCCTAGGTATTTCATTTTCTTTGAAGCTATGGTTCTTTGAAGCTATGAAGGGAGTTGTTTCCTTAATTAGCCTCTCATCTTGTCTGTTATTGGCGTATTCAAAGGTTACTTACTTGTGGACATTGATTTTATATCCTGAGACATTACTGTATTTTTTGATGACTTCCAGGAGTCTTGTGGTGAGTCTTTGGGGTTCTCTGAGCATAAGATCATATCGTCAGCAAAGAGGGAGAGTTTGACCTCCTCTGCTCCCATTTGGATGCTGTTTATTTCCTTGTCTTGTCTAATTGTATTGGCTAGAACTTCCAGCACTATGTTGAATAGTAATGGTGACAGAGGACAACCTTGTCTGGTTCCAGTTCTGAGAGAAAAAGCTTTCAGTTTTACTCCAGCCAGTGAAATATCAGCTGTGGGTTTGTCATAGATAGCTTC